CTGATAAACCTCATCAGGGGGAAACTGCTTCCCTCTGCTCGCCTCTGGATAACCACACGACCTGCAGCAGCCAATCAGATCCCTCCTGACTGTGTTGGCATGGTGACAGAAGTTAGAGGGTTCACTGACCCACAGAAGAAGGAGTACTTCGTGGCAAGATTCAGAGATAAGATGCAGGCCAGGAATATCATCTCCCATATCAAGACATCACAAAGCCTCCACATCATGTGCCACATCCCAGTCTTCTGCTGGATCACAGCTACAGTTCTGGAGGATGTGCTGAAAACCAGAGAGGGAGGACAGCTGCCCAAGACCCTGACTGAGATGTACATCCACTTCCTGGTGGTTCAGGCCAAAGTGAAGAAGGTCAAGTATGATGGAGGAGCTGAGACAGATCCACACTGGAGTCCAGACAGCAGGAAGATGATTGAGTCTCTGGGAAAACTGGCTTTTGATCAGCTGCAGAAAGGAAACCTGATCTTCTATGAATCAGACCTGACAGAGTGTGGCATCGATATCAGAGCAGCCTCAGTGTACTCAGGAGTGTTCACACAGATCTTTAAAGAGGAGAGAGGACTGTACCAGGACAAGGTGTTCTGCTTCATCCATCTGAGTGTTCAGGAGTTTCTGGCTGCTCTTCATGTCTATCTGACCTTCATCAACTCTGGATTCAATTTGCTGGAAGAACAACAAACATCCTTCCAGAAGTCTGAAACAAGAGAATCTCTAGGGACACCTTTCTACCAGAGTGCTGTAAACAAGGCCTTACAGAGTCCAAATGGGCACCTGGACTTGTTCCTCCGCTTCCTCCTGGGTCTTTCACTGCAGACCAATCAGACTCTCCTACTAGGCCTGCTGACACGGACAGGAAGTAGCTCACAGACCAATCAGGAAACAGTCCAGTACATCAAGGCGAAGCTCAATGAGAATCTGTCTGTAGAGAAAAGCATCAATCTGCTCCACTGTCTGAATGAACTGCATGACCGTTCTCTAGTGGAGGAGATTCAACAGTCCCTGAGTTCAGGACGTCTCTCCACAGATAAACTGTCTCCTGCTCAGTGGTCAGCTCTGGTCTTCATCTTACTGTCATCAGAAAAAGATCTGGATGTGTTTGAGCTGAAGAAATACTCTGCTTCAGAGGAGGCTCTTCTGAGGCTGCTGCCAGTGGTCAAAGCCTCCAACAAAGCTCTGTAAGTAAATATGCTGCTTACACGTTCATTTCTTTAACAGAAAATTCCACAACATCAGTCTCTTATGATGGCTTCTGTTACACAGCCAGTGATCCAAATACAGATGGGAGCAGGCATGTTCACCTGGGAGAGTTTGTCCTGCAGCAGTGTAGAACTAAAATCCACAAAGAGTAGGCTAGCTTAAGTTATTGTTGACTCCATGGACCACCATGATACCATCATTGTTGACCAACCCATTGGCTCTGTAGCTGAACTGGAGAAGGTCTAGGATTGTGTCAGTGACAGATTTGGTATGGAAGTGAGGAACTCAAATATCTTCATAATCACAGTTTAGTCACTTTCACTACCAGGAAGGTATTTATTAGCTTACCAGCCACCACCATCATTTTTAAAGATATTCATTAATCAGGTGATTAATGAATATGAACTGCTTGTGTGAACTTGTTTGATAATACACATTTGGATCATTTAATCTCAAATTAGCTAATGTTTCATGAATCTTTCAAGGTTAAATTATTTTCTGTTATGAATATGAAAACAGCAAGCAGGTAAAACAAAGGGAAACTTCATTCACGCGCCTGACACAACTGAGTGCTGACAATCATTTCACTCAATAGTCCCAGTTTATGTTGTAACCTAATATACCAATTATGTTGTAATTATTAATTGCTTTATCTATTTTTTAATTGTTTTGGCGTGTTGTGTTTGAATCAGCATTCAATAAAGTCTGCAGCATGATCAGCTGTGGTCAAGCCTTTTATTTGCATCACAGTTATACAGTCATGAGAGCTCTGCCCTTGAGATGTCACAGCATCTCTTTTATAACATCACAAAGAACTCCTGCATCTTCACGGTTGCAACAGTTTATTGTCCCACCCATGCTGTTGGCCAGGAAACGATTCCCACAATCTATGTTCCAGGAGGCACCTGCCACTGGTCTTCCTGGGAATTCTATCCTTCTACATAGTTAAGCAGGCTGCATCAGGTCATATTGACACACATGTCCTTCACCTATGAAAAGGCTATACAAAATTCTACAGTGGAAATTCTAAGCACCTACTGTAAATCTAAATATGAGAATAAACTGGACATTTTCCATCACACTGGGCAGGCAGTTGTACTTTCTCCCCTGCTCTTCTCCATGTTTACCAACAGCCACATCTCCAGGCCTGTCTGTCAACCTCCCAAAGTTTGCAGATGACAACACCCTCACCTGCGCTGAGATAACAGCCTGAAGTTCAGTGCTGTCAAAACTATGGAGACTTCATCTTCCTGTCTTCCTTTATCAAGAAGGTAAAGAAGAGGATATATTTTCTGTGGCAGCTGAAGACATTCAACCAGCCAAAGTTACCTATAGTGAACTCCTACTCCTCCATCACTCTGTCTTCACCTCTCTATAACTAACTAACATGGTGCTGCCACTGTCAATAATATGGACACATTGCACCATGCAAATTCTTCTGCTGAGAAGGTGATTGGGTGCAATCCACCTCCTCTCCAAGACCTGAACACCTCCAGAACACTAATATGGCCGAGAAAGATAAATGTGGACCCGTCCCACCCCAGACATGTCTGTGGGTCAGTCCCTTCTGGCAGGATGCTGGAGTCCATCACAGACTTGTCAGGACACAAATATATTCCTTCCTTTTGCAGTTGGACTACTTAAGTATGATCAACCCTGAATAATCTCACTGGTGACTTCAAATGATAACACATCTGCAATATATTTTAAAAAATGCACACTGGATTCCTTTCCAAGTACATTGCAAATCATGTTCTCATCTTCAGGTCGAACTGGGCTGCTGCATTAAGGTTCAGTACATGACATACTGTGTGTTGAAATTCTAATCACTGATACTATCATAAGAAAAATGATCAAAAGTACTGTCTGCCTATGCCAAATGGTACTGAACTACTACTATGTGTCACTAAATCTTTTAGCCCCTCACTTATTTAAATTAAGACAGAAATAATTATTTTTACTAACATTTTTTAAACAATCTTTACATTTTTAATTATTTAATTAAACATGATGTGTACATGATAATATATTTTGTTGTGTGCCTATGTTCAACAACTAAAGTAATTTACTTTGATTAAAAATATTGTCTTTCAGGCTGGATGGCTGTAACCTCTCAAGCAGAAGTTGTAAAGCTCTGTCCTCACTGCTTAACTTCCAGTGCTCTACTCTGACAGAGCTGGATCTGAGTAACAATGACCTTGATGATTCAGGAGTGAAGCTTTTCTCTGCAGGACTGGAAAATCCCCATTGTAGACTGGAAATTCTGAGGTCAGGGTTTAGATACTTTTTTTTTTTTTTTTATTATTACATACACAGCTAATCTTTATATAATTTGCAGTTGAGGTGTTATTTTTTTCTGTATTATTGGACTTTCTAAATCATTTCATGTTCAGATTTGTGTTTAAAAACAATTTTTAAAAAAAACAAAGGTTGAGATTTAGGGCTCAACAGTGCTGCTCATATTAAAAACCCACTTCCAAAAAGATTGCACCTTTCTTTGGGGATGACCTTGCATACAAGGGAATATAATTATTTAATTCCTTTGTGAATTTGTGACTTTGTTCAAATATCTGTAAATCAGCAATTTCTATTTTTATAGCAGTTTCATTTTCATGGAGATGGAATATTAATCAAAAATTCTGAAAAAAAAACATGTCACAAAAGTCATAACTTGATTTACATTTCATTGAGGGAAATAAGTGTTTGATCCCAAATCAAAACAGTTGCACTACCTGTGCAATCCTTGTACTCTGCAAAAACAGAAAATCTTGATGGAGGTTCGTGGTGTTGTCACTGGCCTCCACCTGTAAAAACATTCCTTTTTAGGGGGTTGTCTTATTGTTTCCCTCTAGTGTACATGTTATTAATTAATCATTAATCCCTAAAACAGCTGACACTAATAACCACTTACACTACTTAACCTCCTAAGACCTGAACTCTTCCACGGCATTCATTTTTAATTTCTCTTTGATATTTGGGCATAATGGTGCCCGATGAATGTAAAAAGAAACAATTACCAGATTTTATGTTTTACCTTATTTTTGTTTTTAAGAAAAATAAGAGCTACATATGAGGATATTCGTTTAAAATTTTGATAGAACTGTAGCAGTATAATGTCCTCGTAAGTGGATATCAGGCCCTTCTAGAGCAGTCTGAAAGTCTTTTTTCATGGCCTCTCCAAACTCCTCCCACACTTGAGTTTTTGCTTCAGCCACTGCCCGAGCCGCATTCCGCTTGGCCTGTTGGTACCCAGAGGCTAACCAAGCCCAATATGACTCCTCCTTCAACCTGATGGCTTCCCTCACCTGTGGTGTCCACCATTTGGTTCATGGTTACCACCACGACAGGCACCAACCACCTTATGGCCACAGCACAGTGCAGCAGCTTCGGCAATGGAGATGCTGAACATGGTCCATTCGGACTCAATGTCCTCAATCTCCCTCGGAATGCTGTTGAACCGCTGGTGTGCGTTGAAGATCTTGTTGACTGGGGCCCCTGCTAGGCGTTCCCAGTGCACCCTCACTATACCTTTTGGCTCGCCAGCTCTGTCCGGCATCCTCCCCCGCCACCTGATCCAACTCGCCACCAGGTGGTGATCAGTTGACAGCTCAGCCCCACTCTTTACCTGAGCGTTGTCGCGGTTCGAATTTTGAGAAAGAGACATACGACTGAAAGTCCATAGTGGGTCAACACAAATGATTTTATTAAAGCACATATATGTGAAGATGGGCTCTGCAAAACATCAGGCTCCATCTCCCGCCTGACAATAGGTGGGTGTGATATTTATACTTATGATGACCAGTAGCTCCAGCGAGGACATATTCTAAAAAAGGAACTGCTACTTCCTCTGTTCCTCCAGATGCTTCCTGTTATTACACTTTTCTAGACTTACACAACAGTTGCAATCAGTTTACCCAGACAGACTATGTGTCTGTGTTGTTAACCTCAGTGCATGACCTCCCTCTACGTCATCTGTTACCAGGCAAACTCCAGTGCAGCCTGCTGAATGCACACAGGCAATATGTAGTAAATTATACTGTAAACATGTAGGCAACCTTTCAATAGCTGAACTTTGCTCCATTGATCGGCCAGACATCGCGCTGCCCGTAGCTTCAAACCATTAATTAACTTAACTGAGCTTCAACCCTTTAATTATGCAATATGTGTATAACATGATTACAGTTGCACCTGCAATGAATGATTATTATGTGCTTATGCTAACACCTGAAATACAGACTTTAATATAACATCACCAGTTTCAATAAATGTGTCAATGAAATGATAACAATGATAAATCATAAATGATGCAACAGTAATAATAAGGATTATGAATAGTAACAGTAAAATAATATTTCATCTCGACAGTGTCCAGAACAAATGGCCGCAGGTTGATGATCGATTTTATAGTCGAATCACCAGACCTGCGGCCTAGGGCATGCTGGTGCCACATGCACTTATGGACAATATTATGTTTGAACATGGTGTTTGTTATAGCCAAACTGTGGTTTGCACAGAAGTCCAATAACAAAACACCAATCAGGTTCAGATCCTTGAGACCGTTCCTCCCAATCACGCCCCTCCAGGTCTCGCTGTCGTTGCCCACGTGAGCATTGAAGTCTCCCAGTAGGGCAACAGTTTCCAGGTGGAACACCTTCCAGCACCCAACCCAGGGATTCTAAAAAGGCCGGGTACTCTGAACTGCCACTCAGCACATAAGCGCAGATGACTAAACTCTGTCTCAGTCTGGAGATGCCCCTGGTGAGAGGTGGCGGGCTGGGGTGGGTATCCTGGTATCCCCTCAGCTTTCTGCCTGTATGTTGAGGTTCTTCCCAGTGGATGAGAGGGTTTGTTCCAGCGCCTTCAGGTCGAGGAACGGGTCCTGACTGTCCCTCTCCAGGAGACTGGTTCCAGAGCCCAAGCATTGTGCTGAGGTGAGCCTGACTATATCTAGCTGTTATGTCTCAACCTCATGCACTTACTCAGGCTCCTTCCCCGCCAGAGAGGTGACATTCCATGTCCCAATTGCCAGTTTTGGTAGCCAGGGATTGGTCCACCAGGGCCTCCGCTCCTGGCCACCGCCCGGCACACAATGCACCAAACCCCTACGGCGCCTCCTGCGGGTGGTGGGCCTGCAGGAGGATGGCCCATGTCCCCTTTTCGGGCTGTGCCTGGCTGCGCCCCATGGACTAAGGCCCGTCCATGTTTTTTTGTTTTTTTTTTAAAAAAGCTAAAATGAACCTAATGAATGTAATGGATGGATAACATTGTATCTCCATTAAAGTATATAAATAAATTAATCATGAAGGTCTTCATTGAAGAGTTTCACTGAATTGTTGTTTTGTGTGTCTGCAGTCTGTCAGGCTGTCTGATCACCGAGGAAGGCTGTACTTCTCTGGCCTCAGCTCTGAACTCCAACCCGTTCCATCTGAGAGAGCTGGACCTGAGCTACAATCATCCAGGAGTATCAGGAATGAAGCTCCTGTCGTGTCCTGAAGTGAAGGAACAACGCTGGAGACTGTACGCTCTCAGGTATGGAGAGAATGTCTGATAGATGAGGAATAGCTGGAAGCATTTCCTGTGTCCTTCACTGAGTTACTAATTAACATCATGTTACAAATTACAAATGCAGAACCATTTTTTGTTCATTCCAAATAGGAACACTAGTCTACTTAAAAGAAAATATAAAACATAAGGAAATTAATTTATTAATCATGAGATATGTGTATTGAATTAACTTTTCTAGGAGAAATGACAAATGTATTTTCTTTCTTTCAATATTTGGGTAGATCTCTATAATTGTGCAGTAACTTTTAGAAAATTATATTTCTTTGAAAAAGGTACTTTATGGAGGAAGCAGAAAGGTGTGATGAAGAAAGGGCTGCATAAGAAATATAATACGCTTCTCAATCCTGACAAATTCCAACAAATTACAGCGTTGGTTGAAGAGAGACAGAAGCCAGGAAAATAAACCAGCTGTTCTTGACTGAACCATCCAAGGGGGTACCCTCGGTGGTAGGGGATTTTTATGAGAACAATCCCATCAAGACTGGAGATAATTCAATACTGAAAAACCATATGAAAGACCCATGTAACACATAACAAGAATATAACGTTCATACACAAATGACAGGGATTGGGCAGGAAGTCAAATAATATTACAACACATCTTGAAAAAGTTCTAATCCGTACTTATCCTGTATGGTGATGAAATGAAACCAACAGATTATAGAAAATATCCTAACACTTTCAATGAAGGTTTTATAGAAGGCCAATAAGATATTATTACTGATGCAGACTGAGTTCAGTTTTCCTAACAAGGTACATTATCTGGTGACACCTCTGGTTTGGAGGAGAAGATGGTCTCCAAGTACTTGTGCTCCTTTACGATCTCTACTGATGACCCGTAGATAGTGACAGAAACACCTCTTTCCAGTTCCCATTCTCTGCTGGAGAAGGTCACTACCATCTCTGTGGTTTTGCTGACATTCAGCTCCAGCTGTGATGAGTCAGACCATTCAACAAACTGCTGAAAAGATGGAGAAAGAATGTGAGCAGTGGAAAAGGAATATGAAGGCAGGCAAAATAAAAATAAGTGACTTGAGAGAGAGGGAAAGAAACAATGCAGTCAACTAAAAACACACCCTTACAGGTTAAGATAAAAATAACAGCCAGACACTACTAATCAAATAGTTTTTCAATTCAATTTCATTTCAGTTTTTTTTATATAGTGCCAAATCACAAAAACAGTCACCTCAAGGCGCTTTATATTGTAAGGTAGACCTTACAATAATACATACAGAGAAAAATCCAACAATCATATGACCCCCTATGAGCAAGCACTTTGGCGACAGTGGGAAGGGAAAACTCCCTTTTAACAGGAAGAAACCTCCAGAAGAACCAGGCTCAGGGAGGGGAGGCAATCTGCTGTGACAGGTTGGGGTGACAGAAGGGAGACAGGATAAAAGACATGCTGTAGAAGAGAGACACATAGATTAATAACAAATATGATTCAATGCAGAGAGGTCTGTTAAAACAGTGAATGAGAAAGGTGACTGAAAGGGAAAAACTCAATGCATTCCCCAGCAATGTATGCCTATTGCAGCATAACTAAGGGAGGATCCAGGGTCACCTGGTCCAGCCCTAACTATATGCTTTAGCAAAAAGGAAAGTTTGAAGCCTAATCTTAAAAGTAGAGATAGTGTCTGTCTCC